CAGCCGCTGAGGCTACATACAATCTATAGTGTCGTACAAATGTTTTGAGTGAAGACCAATTTGCTGCCTTACAAATGCTCTCTGTGGGAACACCAGCCACTGCAGCCCATGAAGTAGAAATGGACCTTGTAGAATGAGCTCTGATCCCCTTAGGCACTGGAACATCTTGAGACTTATATGCTCTAGTAATAGCTGTGATGATCCAAGAACGGAGAGTAGCAGTTGAAGCGGCTTCACCTTTACGTGCTCCCCAATGAATGATAAACAATTGCTCGGATTTCCTCCATACAGCAGTATGGTGAATGTAGGAAGTTAAACATTGCTTGAGACCAAGCCTGTGACATCTTTCTTCCACAGGAGAAGTTGGATCAGGAAAGTAATCAGGTAGGACAATGTCCTGGTTTAAATGAAAGGATGTTACCACCTTAGGTAAGAATTCAGGTCTTGGATGAAGAATTACATGGTCATGAAGGAAGGATATGTAAGATTCGGCAACTGAGAGGGCTTTAATATCGGCAATTCTCCAAGCTGAGACTAATGCGAGAAGAAGCAATGTCTTGTGAGAAAGAATGGTGATGGAGATTTCCTCCAAAGGTTCAAACAGAAAATCTGTAAGAGAATGCAAAACCAAAGGAAGATCCCGAGGGGCCGTAAAGGAATGGATCGGAGGTCTGATTCTGATGACCACCTTAAAAAAACGAATTACCAAAGGATCTTCAGCCCATCTAATCCCTGAAATGGCTGATATTGCTAAACAATGTACCTTAAGCGTATTGAGGCTGAGGCCCTTGTCCAGTCCAGCTTGTAAAAATCCCAATACTTGTAAATTCGAGACTTCTCCCAAGGATTGAACTTCCTTCTTCAGCCAGTCTGCAAATTTCTGCCAAATCTTGTGATATGTGTGAGAGGTAGAATCTTTCCTGGAAAACAACAGTGTAGACACCACCTGTTCTGGAATACCTTTAGATTGCCTTTCAAGAGCCAGGCCTGAAGTCTGAGTTTGTGTGGTTCCGGATGTCGAAGAGGGCCCTGGAACAACAGATCCTCTGACAGTGGTATTTCCCAAGGATGGTCTATCATCAGTCTCTTCAAGGGGGAACCAAGGACGTTGAGGTCAAAATGGTAACCTTGCACTTTTCCTTGGATATTTTCTTGAGGACCATCTGGATCAAAGGAATTGGTGGAAAGATGTAGGCCAGATCGAAGTTCCATTTCACTGAGAGAGCATCCTGGGCCATGGCCCTGGGATGAAACTGCTTCGAGATGAAGGTTGGAACTTGGGCATTCTTTTCTGTGGCCATAAGGTCGACTAGGAGAAGGCCTCACCTTCAGACCAATTGTAGGAATATTTTCCTGGAGAGTTGCCACTCTTCTACCTGTTGTCTGCTCAAAAAATCTGCGACCACATTGTCTTTCCCAGGAGAAAAATTGCACACAGACCTGCCAAATTCTTCGGAGCCCAGGTCATGAGAGGTAGTATCTATTTTCTCAGTGATGTGCTCCTGGTACCGCCTTGATGGTTGATATAAGCAGCTGTGGCTTTGTTGTCTATCCTGATTTTCACCCATCTGTTCCTCAGATGACCTTGAAAATGAAGGCGAGCCAGAAAGGCTGCTCTTAGTTCCCGAATATTTGAGGGTAATTGACAGGCATGGTGAGGCCATGCTGCTTGAACAAACCATTTTCCGAAATGAGCTCCCCAGCCCAACTGGCTCACATCGGTGGTTATGATCCACCAGTCTATGTTCTTTAGAGGAAACCCCTGAGAAATGTGATTCCAAGACAGCCACAACTGGAGATCTTGTTTCAGATGCCTTGGAATGAAAAGGGCAGTCTCCCATTCCTGACAACTGGGGTTGAAGTGGTCTAGCAGGTACCTTTGAAGTGGATGGATATTCCACTGTGCCCATCTGACAAGGTTGATGATAAAGTGCCCAGTAACTTCATGAAGTTCCTTGCTGGAGCTGAAGACTGCTGACGAAATTGCCACACCTTGTGCAACAGAGTTATCTTCCTTTCGTGTGCTAAGGAACAACAGCTGTTTTGGTGTTGAAATAAGCACCGAGAAATATCAGTTCCCTGGATGGATGTAGCTGGCTCTTTTCGTGATTTATCAACCAGCGGAAATGGGAAAGAGTCTCTAGAACCAGAGACCGATGCTGAATTAACAGGCTGTATTCTGAAGCTGTTATCAAAATGTCGTCCAGGTAATGGAAGATTGTGACTCCTTGCTTTCTTTTTTTTTTTTATGTTTCAGTTATTTAGTAGATAGCTCCCTAATTTGGTATCTGTAAATATCCCACATAAGAATATTAAATTAGGGAGTTATCCACAAACCATCCAGTCTCCCTGATGAATCATCGGTATGATACATCTTAAAGACTCCATTCAAAATGTCCTGATTCTGAGGAAGAGATTGAGCTGATGCAAATCCAGAATCAGTCTCCATTTCCCTCCTGGCTTGTTTACTAGGAAGAGAGGGGAATAAAACCACTTTTCCTTTTTTGGTACTGGTACAACAACTTCCTGTTGAAGAAGGGACCAAACGTAATAGCACCTCTTGTTTTTGAGGATTGGAAGGTACACGCGTCCTTATAAACCACGGTGGTGGAATAAAGTCTTCGAACTCCAGGGTAGAGCCGGATGACACTATGGCTCTTACCCACACATCCTGAATCTGATCCCAGGCTTTCCGGAAGTGTAAGAGTTTGGCACCTACAAGGGAAGCATGGGGACTGTAATCTTCAGAATTGTTTATTAGCATGAAAGGAAGACAAAGGATTCTTGCCTCTGGATGCTTTGTCTGACTGACGGCTTCTCCAGGTATTGTGCCTAGTATATTCTCTACCTGGCCTTACTCCCCCTATAGGAATTATGTTCTCTGTAAGGTCTACGGTCTGGAAGAGGTTTCCTTGGTCTCTTATCCTGTGGCAGAAGGACCTGTTTGGCATTTGCTGCCCTCCTAATGGCCTCTTCTGAGTGTTTGCCAAAGAGGACATCCCCTAGAAAGGGTAAGGCACATAAATTGTGTTTAGAAGCGATGTCTGCACCCCAAGATCTCAACCATTGGGCTCTTCTTGCGGATACTGAATATCCCATAGTTTTAGAAAGGACCTTTATAAGGTCTGTAGAGGCCTCCGAAAGGCATTCACTGGCCAATTTCACCTCCTTTAGAGACTCAGAGATGTGGTGTCTTCTAATAGATCTTATTCTATATCCATTACCCATGCTTTCATAGCTCTTGACATGACTTAAATGGCTACTGCTGGGTGGCAGCCTAAGTCTGCTGTCACAAACAATTTTGAAAGGTTGGCATCAATTCTCTTGTCCATAGGATGTCTAAGAGAAGCATTACTATCGATGGGTACAGTGGAGTGTTTAGCAACCTTTATAACAGGTGCATCAACCTTAGGATTAGAAATCCAAAGTTTTCAATCACTCTCATTGATTGGATATAGTTTTGGGAGGCGTGACTGTAAGGAGAACCTTTTCTCTCTTCAAAACCTTTTCAGTTTTCATAAGACTTCATAAGACCTTTTGAGTCTTCATAAGCTCCTTAATGGATTTATGTATTGGAAAGGAGACACTTTTGTGGCTCAGATCCCCCAAAAATTTGTCTGAGGCAGATGATTCTTGCACCTCCTCTGGAATCTCCAATGTTCTCCTGACTAAGGAACCGGACTTTGGACATGACTGGCTTAAGTATTTATGGTGCCTGTTACCTCCACAGATGCAGTTGGGAGATGCTGATATGAAACAACTTTTTTCCACACTGAAGGACAATCACTTCTTTTTCTAAAAAAAAAAGTGAATGAGCATGGGCAATTAATGACTTTCTCACCCTTTCCACTGTGAGAAGAACAAAACTTTCCCACAAATCCAGTCTGTAGCATTATTTATGGTCTTTAATTGTGGGGAAAACACATTATATCCTGACCAGCTTCTGCCATCTCTGGACGCAGAAGGCACCTCAAGACTCAAACAGGCAGGGCAAAACAAGTATCATGACAGGTTGGGGAAAACACTAGGGTTCACCTTGATTGGGAGGCAGGTGCTCGGTATGTGGATGTAGGCATTACGAGTAGCCTACCTGCTGAAGTACTTTTGGGGAATGACCGAAAGTCTTACTTCCTCGTACCAACCGGAACCTACTGACACAGCATTTCCAGTCACCACCTGGCAACAGGTCCGCACAGCAAAGGATTCTACTCCCGATGGGACCCGGATAAGACCTATTTTCTCTATCCCTCTCGTAACTGCCTGGCTTATGACTTGGAAATCCCTGGATGACGGAGACAGAGCTGACTTTGTCCCCAGGGGGGTTAAAGGATGAGACCATAGTCTGGGAAGGAGGGCAGGTATGCCAAGTGACCGATGGGGTGGGGACAGGGGCTACACAAAAAAATTGGTTGTACCCAGGAAATTTAGTACCGAGCTTTTGTGCATGCCACCAGATAGGCTTGTTACCTTCTCCAATATTCAGGCCGATACCATAGTGGATGCTCTGCTTCAAATATTCTCCTGGGTGAGGTTTCCCAGGGAAGTGGTATCAGACCATAATATACAGTTCACGACTGACCTTACCCAACAACTATGGTCTTGTGACCCACCAAGCAGGATAAGTTGTGAGATGCTTGGAAAGGCCCCTACAAGGTGGGAGAACAGTTATGCAACACTACCTATGTAATCACTCATTATATTTAATCTCCAAATACTGCTCAGAGTACTTTGAGATGGGCATCTGAGCGCTCTTAATGGTACCGAATACTTTGACTCAACAAAGCATTACAGGATTGTACTCAGCCAGAGTACCCGCAGGTCATTACAATACCAATATTGTATTATTCATATCAAAAGAGATTTATGAATTATTATACGAGGAAAACAAAAAGAATTAACCTACGGCCAAAATTTAGATATCACAAGGTAGAGGGCACAAAAAAGGGGGGTAACCCCTAAATGGTGAATATCATAGGGAATAAACAAAAAAAGAAACAAATGCCATTCTACCTGTGTATGATATACTGAGAAGATTGTAGATTAATCTACAATCTTCTCAGTATATCATACACAGGTAGAATGGCATTTGTTTCTTTTTTTTGTTTATTCCCTATGAGATTTATGAATTGTTTTTATTATGTGGACTTTTTATAAATCTGTGATATTTGTATAATTTAATATGTTAAAAGAAAAATACTGTTTAAAAAAGATTTATAAATTAAACAAAAAATAAATGATTCCTGATCTCTACTATTTTTATTATAGCAAAATATAGCTGCTCATTCTAAAAGTTCTCTCACAAAATCTTTTTTATATATCCAGATGTATCGAAATAGTCTAATTTTGGCAACTTAGAATTGTCATTACAAAAATGGCTAATATTGTGTAGCCATTAGGTTAGTCAATATTGTAGCCATTTTTCCATGTCAGTACAGTCATTTATTTTTTCTTCTGTTCTGGCTGTCCAAATGGCTTTCCTAAATTTTTTTTTTTTGGTACCAAAATTCAGTCAGAGCTGAACAATAACATTAACTAAATTCTCTACCACACCACGCAGCCTCCCTGCCGCCAGTCCTAAACCCTAGAAGACCAATTCCTACTCCCTGGGTGAATCCTTCCCAATAGACCTCACACTGCGCTCTCTAACTGGGAAACTCTTTCCTGCCCCTAGAAGACCTACCACCATCCCTCCTTAGGCAAATCCTTCCAACTTCCCCCCCACCAACCACCATGTGAAGCTCTATCCTGCCCCTAGAACACTAAACATGCTCCCTCATTCCTTGGGGGGGAGAAACATATACTTCAAGTAGATATTACTTCAAAACCCAAAAATTACAAGAAAAACTCTACTATCACCAACCTGATACTGCAAGCATCTAAGATGATGTCACATAGGTGGGGTTACAAAATGTGCATGTTAGTTGCAAGCTAGCAGTGCTGTCTGATTGGCTGTAGTGTCTGTGCACATCATTGTATTTCATTGGTCAGGGACAAAGAGTCATGCGATGGTTATGTTTATTAAATATGTGTTTGCAGTCAATTATGTATCAGCCAATAAATATACTTGTGATTCACATATATTGGTGGTTTTATTTAGTTCAGCTGTTCCATCTATCAAGTTTTGCTGCTTGTAGATAATCTGACATTAAAGGCTGCTGAAATTCAATGAAAAATATTGTTAAAAACTGTCACAGAACCTAGCCACGGGCTCCTGGAGGAGCCTGCTTGCCAGCCTCCTGCCTCAGGACTATGGGCCCTGCAATATACCTTGCCCAATGCACTTCAAAAGGCTCCATTCATGAGATTTATGTACTTTTGAACTCCAGAAAGAGAGACCAACCATTAGTCCTAATTCCCTGGAACTGTTTTGGGCATAGGACCATGTGCACGGTCGGTCAAATTTATGACTTCCATGGAAATCCCTAACCCTTGAACTTATCTGGGTGATTTTTGGATATGTTGGTCCCCCAGATGGGGGCTATCAGGGGATGTGACTTTTATGGGGTTTCCATGTGTTTTGGGGGTACTTTCGGGATGTTGTTAAAATGTATATTTTTTGTGCCTGGTGATAATTGAGTTTGATATAGTTCCTGACTCAATTATCTCCCAGGCACAGGGGAGGAATTATCCTATTTTGTGTGGGAGTGTCCTAGACCTGAGAGCCAATGTAAGTACAGTGTGTATTTTGTCATAGTCCCCTCTCAGGTCCAGTGGGTAATGCCCCTGAATATGTCATAGTAAACCCCTTGCATGGGAACCTGCATATAAGGCCAGTTGTAGCTGCCATTAAAGAGTTCCTCTTCACCTTCAACATAGAGGCTCGTCTTATGTGTGGAAGGGACAGCTATATTCCCTTTGGGGATTACAACACTTTCTCTTGTAAGCGCATCCTGCTTACTCTCTGAACTAGGAGAGGTCTACCCACTGGAAGCTGGATCCTGGTCTTGGGTCCAGGGTGGGTGGAGGACAGCGAGCCCCCAAACAAGCAGTAACGCTGGCTGTGGGGTTTACGGTAGTTATGGTGTTCCAGTGCGATGCTTATGGTGCTCGCAACTACTAGGAAGCAGCGATTGGCAGAGACACCCAGTCGGGGTGCCAGGCGGTCCGCCACAAATGTCTATAATTATTAACTGCTATCGGCACAGAGTAAAAGTAAGGTAACCCACAGATTTTCACAGATGTAATTTTGTGCCTAACATGTGGTGCTTTAAAGGAACAATAGTTTAATAGATATACACCCATGTTTTATATAGGGAAATAAATAGCTGCAGTTCTAAACATTCCCCTTTCTAATCTGGGCTGGAAAATACTCTAATCAGAGACTTTCATAGAGAAACCATGTGGACCAGCAGCATTCACTCACAGACTTCTCAGAAGAAGCACACTCAGTGGTATATTCTGGTTTTGTGCTGCCCTAGGCATGACAAAGCTCAGACACTGCCCCCCCCTTCCAAATTTATCTTCCTGACAGACACATGCCATCACTGATGCATGCACTGACATACATTCACTTACAGATACACAGTCATTGTCACACACACTTTCACTGAAACATACACATTTACTGACATACACACTCACTCGTTCACAGTTACACTCACTCACAGTTACACACACACTCACATTCAACGACAGACACGCATTCACCGACAGACACATACACACTCACTGACAGAACACACATGCACACTCACTGACAGAAATTCATACACACTCACTAACATACACACACTAACACTAACAGACACACACTAACACACTCATTAACAGACCCACTAACAGATACACACTAGCAAACTCACAATGAAAAAAAAAATTAAGTTTAATCCACTGGAGTGGATTCTTCCCTATGGTCCAGTGGGTCTGCTGCTGGCTGGGCACGGGCTGATGGAAAGGCAGGCTTATATTGGAGGCAGCGAGGGAGCTCTGATCCTCCTGCTCAGCTCCCTTGCACGCCTCTGAGTGATGCCAAGGTCGGAGTCATATTCCGGCTCCGAGATCACTATTGTGTGCGTGAGCTGAGCAGGAAGAGCTCAAGAGACAGTGCTCCCTCGCTGTCCGCCTCCTACATTTGAAGATGCCAGCCTCAAGGGGGCCCTAAGGTGTCCAGCCAGCCAGCTCTTGGGCCCCCCAGGACAAGAGGCTGGCAAGGCATCTGCCAGGGCAATTGGGGAACCCAACACACACAGACCCTAATCTGCTGAAGGAATGGAATAACGTATTACCGGGCCTTAGAATTGCCGGATTTAAAGTAAAGAGTAGTCACAGATATAGCCAAGGTCAAACAGGAGAGAACAGCATAAATGGGAAAACAAGCCCAGGTCAGGGACACAGAGAGACGATCAACAAGCCAAAGTCAGTAACAATAAATCCAAACAAGTATAAAGCGCATTCTTGGGTAGTCAAGAACCACAACAGAGCAACTTGCTACTGAAAAGCCAGGGAACCAATAATATTGGTCGGCATCACTTTAGAGTGCCTAAGGACCCAAATTCGGCCAAACTCGGGTGCCTCTGTTTGTGCGTACCGATAGGTTCGGCACTTAGAATTGCGCCGTCATGATGTGGGTGCAACTTCATACTAACAGACGAGCATGCAGAGCGTGCAGATTCTGACCCACCGCTGGATTGCAGATCTGCGGAATGGGTAAGCATGACAATGACGCTGCTGGAGGTGAAGTTATACATCTGGCAGCAGAGGGATTAATCTCTGTATGTGCAGCATTAAAAAAGTGAAACACTGCATATACAGACTCAAGGCACCATGACCACGGATTTAATGTGGTCACGGTGCTTGGAGTAACACTTTAAGTACAAAAGTTGAGATTGAGTCCTTAAGAGATTAATAAATCTAATTCAAGTCCAACCAATGGTCTAAAGCAGTTTGAAAATGTACCTACCCAGTCACAAGACAATAAATTACACCATTGTGCCTGGATCCCTAACTTTTGGCACACAGGAAAACCACCATCATGTTGTATGTCATGGACTTGCTGTACAATGTAAATTCTTAGTTTTAATTGGATTATTTGCATAATATTTGAAACAATTCTGACATATGGTTACAGTTCATGACTCCAGTGAGATCTTGATTAATGTCATGTTACATGACTTATTGATTTTTATCTTAATATAATAAGCCTATTGTCCTCTTTATTTTATATTACCCAACACAACATAATGCTGGTTGTTTTATAAAGGCATTAACAAGACTGAAAATGAAACACTGAGCTAGTCCCAATGCAACTCTGGCTGAATACAAGTGCATTTTTTTCTCTTTTTGCAGATTGTATATAGCTGAAAATAAATGAATAATTAATATGAATGAATACATGCCTTCAGAGAGTTTTCAGAATGCTAGTGGCAAACTGCAAGTGGGAAAACAACACAACATTATGCATAATACACTGCCATGAGAAAATCCTATTTATGGCTTTGTTCTTAGTGTAGCAATGCATATCTGTCCTTTTCTTTATCATTGTTTATTTCTATCCATTCCCTGGAATATAAAACAACAGGCATTAAATATGTGATTGCAATCTGAAGCTCTGTAGCAATACCTTAGTATGGGAAATCCATAGCCCCTCCTATTAAAAAATAAATAAAAACAATCATTTCAGAAATATGTTTTATTGAAAGTATTTACGTTCTACTCTAAATCTCTTACGTACTTTTTCAGTAAACTCATAATTGTGGAAAACTGACAAGAGAATTGCACATATTATTAGAATGCTTCCAATTGTGATATTTTTAACTAAAATGCAACATTCCTTTATCAATTTAGTATATAATCTAAACTAGAATTTACGTATGTGGTTTTTTTTTATTGTACACTATTATTGATCTCTATATTTAACCAATGTGTATTTGGGAGGTCCGAATGATTAAATTAAATATCGAAATACACACCTTACCTGAATCTTGGCTCTTTATCAAATATAGTTATAAGCTTTATACCAGCCAGTGAGCATAAAGAGAACATTGACAAGATTATTCACCAAAGTGAGAATTCAAAGTGAATTGCAAATGTAATGTCAAAATAGCCAAACTGGAAAAAAAAATCTCGAAGTCAGCTATGCTTTCAGTTTGGCAA